TCTGAGCTGTCAGCACAGAGCCTGCCGTGGGGCTCGAACCCATGCACCACCAGATCATGACCTGAGCTGAAGTCCAGTGCTGAACCAACTGAGCCATCCAGGTGCCCCTATGGCTTTCATTTTTAGAATACATTAGTATTGAATCACTTTTGAATATGTGGAGTTTTTCTTTATTGAAACTGTACTTCCAATATGATATCACTGTATGCTAGGATTTTGTAGAATAACTGAGCTAGACTTTTGGTCAAGTTTACCAAAAGAAACATTTAGTAAATAACTCAATACCAGAAAAAAATAAAAGCCCATATTCACGTGTTAAAACTGAAGGATTATTTGTCATTTTTTGTATTCAGATTTGATTAAGTGTTGATACTGCTAACCCTGATTCTGTCTGATTTTGAGTCTCTTTCTTCAATCTCATCGTGTTCCAAAATACAACTCTTGATCTGTGGAAATTAATAACCCATACTTTGAAAACTATTAAGTTCACAGAAAAAGCCACTTAAATAGTTTTTTTTCAGAATGAAATCTGCCTTCATCTGCCAACTGGGCATATAACAGAATCCTACCACACCTTTCATCATGATTGGAATCCTAACTGAATCAAGCGACTCCCTGACAGACCTGGACTTGTGCTTCCTCCTTCCAGGATGCTGGGGTATTCGGATGCCAACTGTTTCGATAGACTGGGAGTGAGTAGTATAAAGACCCTTCAAGTTAACATTAGCTGTGTGCTTCATTTCAACACATACTTGAAAATCCTGCACTGGGTGTTTCTAGTACTAGCCTCACTATTAATAAAATGATTTTTTTAATAAGTTGAATAGCAGGTGAATTAGGAGGTAGAAGAATAGAAAATTCTCCTGTTGGAAAAATGTTAGGAAAATAATAACATTCATGAATAGAGACATGGTTAAACAGTTAAGAAGATGTGTTGTATGAGATACTACTCTAAGGCCACACATAAAGAAAGGATTCATTTGAACTGATGTGGCAATAACCTAAGGAACCATTGTTAAACTTAAACAGTATATTATGATGCACTAAGTACAATATCAAACAATTTATACAAAAATTACACAATGCAATAATTGTAAACATGTATATGTATATGCATATGTATACAAACATATAGGAATAGATTGGGAGCGTACAGACCATAATGTTAATGTTTGAATTCTCAGAAGATATAGAATGAGCCATGTATTTGGGAAGGGGATGTTGCATTACTTGTAATAGAGGATGTTTTTTAATAGAAAATATGTATAGGAAATAGTTGTGCA